GATTCTGCTCTTCTGTTACAGCGATGCAAGATAGCTCTATCATGTCTGGTGCTAAACACAGGCAAGAGAGTGCCAGGGTGGCTTATGTGAGAAAACACTGTGTAAACTGTTATAACACAGTTAGTGTTTCATTGGTAGAAATATGGATTACAGAATTGCTTTTGAAAAATGGAGGAATAGCAACAGGCGTGAGACCTGCAGGGTGGAATTATGCTCTTATAATGACAAATGAACCATGTCAAAACCCTGATTCCCTTTTCTGGGATCAATGCTTTATGCTAGACAATCACATAATGAATTAAAGTTTAAAACAATTGAAAATGATCTTTTATAGATTGGGTGAGCTTGTCGCTGTTCCCACTGCATCCCATTAACCTGACGTTAGATTACACATCATCGAAAGCAGCACAATGAATGTAAAAAATAAAGTGTGCAAATAAAAGCCTGCAGTCTTATTTAATTTTTAATCCATAGCTGAGAATCAATTTTTACAATACACTTTATTGGATTCCGCAGTGGAAGTGATAAGGTTTACGGTCTCACATCCTGACAGAGGCTGCGTGACCCCAATCAGTTTCTGTGTCCTGCCTCTTTGTACACTGACGTTTGTTGTTCCATTCTCTCCTCTGATGGCGAGAATATTTTATTCAGACTTCTTCCTCACAGCTTTCTTAATTTAGATATCAAAGGGAGCGTCACCACATGCATACACATCCAGGCACCCTGCTGCAGTTTTATTGAGAGGAACCTATCTATGCCAGTCTTGTGCACACATACCTGCATTTATTTATTTGTTTTTATCTATAATGAGACAGTTATCCTTGACTTATGCTGTGTTCACTGAAAGTGTTGAGAGATTCAGTGATTATTATTATTATGTAGAAAAGCAAGCATTTTTCATCTCAACAGATTTTCAGCTTTAACTTAGAGCACAGCAGGGTTCAATTCATGGACAAGTCTTTTTTTATTATGTGTTTCGCACTGTGAATGTGTCCTTTTACTTCTATAACTAACGACAGACAGCTCAGTTTTCTTTCAACGACAGTTTTTGCAGGTTGAACATACTAAGCTGAAGAACACCAAACTGCATTAGAGACTTGGTGTATCTTGTGTCTCACAATTAATAGCAGGTAATGTTTGAATTGCAGTAGTTGTTTATGGTAATTACTCTTTTTGGAAGGCAAATTTGGAAGTCTCATTATTTCTCCTAAACCTCTGCCCGAGATAATAAGTGCTCTCCTTGACACTGTTTTCAGCTTTTAACATCGTGCTACTTCTTTTACTTGAGTAGCACTTGTCACTTGTTTGCCTTGCTTTCAGACAGAGAAGATATATATGCTATACTAAGAAATTAAAACTCATTTTTAATCCATGCCTTTATGTCTCATTGACCAGAACTTGATAAATAACTGGAAAAAAGTGCAGGAATTTATCAGATATACCCCTGGTATCTGCTGTGTGTCCACACAGCACTTTAAGAACATTTCTTTTTAAACGTATAACACTCTTTATAGGTTAATAAATCATTTTGGTATCATAATAAAAAAGATGATTTAGTGTGTACACTCTGTCTGGCAGGTTTATAGCTTTAACTTGTCTTAGCAATTCTTTATAGCCACGCTTCTTCTGTGTAAGTGTTACCAGGGTCTCGTCTGCTCATTAAGGAACATGGTTTTGCACTACACAGATGTGTACAAGCACCCAGGCAGTGTTGTGCTCAGTGCCATCACAGAAAGGCCCACATAAATTCAGTCAGCTGTGTTCTTGGATCAGCTGGTTAGAAGACAGGCACAGAAAGCAAGTGAAGCAGACTTGGAAAATAGCTCTGAGCTTAGAGAATATGCAATGCAGCATGCATGGGTGCCAGGGTGGAAAGCAGGCATGCAACAGCTACTGGCATGTTAGCACCAGAGTGTCACAAGACCACAGCTAGATTGTCTTTGATTCAAGCTCTAAACAATTTGTGAGTCATGACTGCTTCTAAGATCATCACAGGCAAAAGTCTCATTAATAGTGACGGGACTTTGAGGCAAAGTTTTACATTAAAGTTTTATTTGCTGCCATTGTTTATGAGCGGAGATTATCCCTGTCTCAAAGAGAAGACATTTCCCATCACAACAGACTGTTACACAGTAATAATTTGTGGCACCATCAAACGGGCTCATCAGTTTTGTTAAAACTTTGATGAAATGAACTTCAGTAGCAACATTTTTCCTCCTTTGGCAGTGAATTAGGGCTGCCTCAAAGAAAATATCCACTCATGACTATTTATTGTATTTTATTGTATCCAGTCTTTTGAAATGCAAATGATTAAGCTTCTGATCTCAAATCTTGTTTGAAAAGAGTTTATTGAAAATAAACATGGCGATGTTTATTTTTATCCCATCTGATCCTGAGCAGAATGAGTTGGTATAGAAAAGAAATCAGTGATTAACTAAGCCATAACCTCTGAGGAAAACTGGAATAATAGAATAATATAAAAGACTTATAATCCAAACATTTCTTACCTTGAGTTCTGCTCTAAATTACCCGACATATGCGCAAGTTGTTTGAAAGATTAACAGTTTGAAGCAATTTGCCAGGTGCTTGACATTTTCAAAAAAAGATATTACTGTGTTCTTTAAAGGGGAAACATTTCCACTGGCACACCACTGCTACATTAGGGAGACATAAAGTGGTAGATTTATGTTCTAACAAGCCACCCTACATCCTAAAACTCTTCTTACCACAGATGGACCTTCACCCCTGAGACAAGAATGTCTAAACATTCCGTGTGTACATGTCTGAACACGCAAACACTGTCATGCACAAACATGCATGCGAAACCACACATCCAGATGGTCACAGACCTCTTGGGACTTTCAATTTCATTCTGTCTTTTTGAACAGACCAGAACATTTACTTAATGGGTAAGCTGCCACAGAAAGACACTCAGGATAGAGGAAAAGCGATCACTTACTGCAGATGATCCGGAAAATATTACATTCATTTCTTTCTTTCTGTTTTTTGTTTGTTCCCTGTCTGTCTCATTGTCTGTGTTACCTCATGAGAAAGAGAGTACAACATTATGCAAGCATTAACCACTAAAAATATTCAAAATAAATAAACAAACTGCTGTTTTATTTATAAAACACCTTAATTGCCCTTATGACCTTTCAGGATGAGGCCAGTGTTTAATTTGAGGAGATAACAATCTAAAATGCTTAAAGATAGACATAGCAAGGGAGGAATAAGACATACTCAAAGCTGTAAAACTGTATTAACCTCTCGGTGTTCCTCATCACCTCCTTCCCACCCTGGAGGTGACTGACAGATAGGATCAGCCTGAGCATCAGTCAGGACAGCTCTCTACCTCCTGTCACCCTGGCAAAAACATATGGTCTCCTGCAAACATCCACACTTGGACTGTCTGCCACTCACCATCACTCACAATCACAAGCCAACAATTCTGCATCCTTATACTTATGACTCTCCCACAAACATATGCATCATTCATGCTTCACTGAAACATTGTTCTCACATGCGTATCTGTCTCCATCGTCTCTCTGTTAACACAATGTGGACTCTTTTATTCTTACTCGCGTCTTCACACGTCTCTCTGAAACCTCTCCTTTGCTTCTTCACTTTCTTCCTCTGTCTGCTGCTGTGTCACTCTCTTTAATCTGTCACATTCTCGCTTTCTTTCTCGCATTCACAACAGCATGCTCAAACAAAAACACTGCACATGCACTTGCAAATAAGCAAAAAGAATTAATACGCACGCTGACAATCCTTTCTGATGTGCCCCCTCTGGAGATGGTGGTTCCGTTGAGTCCCACCAGAGAGGGCAGAGTCTGAGACATCCAGTTGGTCACCATGGCCATGGTGCTGAGAACTGCCCCGATCTTTAGCATAGGAACGCTCATGTTTGCTTCCTGTGGGGCCCTGGCACAAATGGCCCAACAGCCAGCCCTGCCCTGCCCTTCCCTAGACCTCAGCTCCAGTCAACCCCACACTGCCTCAGACAGCCTAGCCAGGGAACCAGCCAGTCAGCTTGTGCCTGAGCCTGAGCAGCAGCAGCACCCCCCACAGCTGGTACAGCACAATTACTAGACCCACACACCACTGTCTCAGTCAAAGGGATGAGCAGAGGCTGGTTAGAGGAGAGCAGCTCACATCCAAAAGCACCACACTGGAGCCTTCCCTCTCAGAGTGACTGCCTTAGCTTCACCCTCTCCCTCCCTCCCCCACATTCTCGCTCTCATCTCTCTCTCTCCCTCTCTTTTCACCTCTCTCACTTCCTTACTCTCCTCTTAGCTCTCTCCCTCTCTCTCCCCTCCTCTCTTCCTCAAGATGCAGAGCTGCGCATTGGCTGCCTCTCCGTCTCATCCCCTCCCAATCAGCCCTTCCTCTGTTCTTTCCAGCCCTGTTTTGCATGCATGTATCCATTCTTTTTCCTTCCCCTTTCGTTCGCTGACATTTGCCTGTTCTTTTATGACTCACATCTTGATGTGTGCTCGCGTGCACTTATTTCTTAAGCAGAGAGATCTGAGACTGATTTCACAGGACTGATCTGTGCTCTATGTTAAGTGACATGTGAATGCCCAGGGCAACTGAGTGCAATGCTAGGCACAGGAGACCATCCTGCAGTTTCATCATCGTGTTTGTACTAAAGACAGGACTGAGAATGTAGACCGGTGGGTGTTTAGATTAAAAGGTTTCTAGGGGCTCATCAGTGAATATGGGCAGGTGGTTTGGCAAAGTGGGAGACATGATGTGGGAGAGATGCAGGTGCTCCAACCCACGGCTGCTTCTGACAGCTCATCGTTCATTCTGCTTCATGACATATCCTAAATTAGCCTGTAGCTTGTACTTTTAAAGAATCAATGTTGGAGTGATAAGAAACGTATCAAATGACACTAACTTCTTGACGCTCACTGTGTTAATTTACTCTGATGTTACGTCGTGTAATTGCAAACATTTGCAAGAGGACTGCTTTTTTTTTCAACTTGGAATTTTGGCTTAAAGTTATGATAAACCTGCATTTTGTTACTCATCCTGGTGCTGTGAGATGACCTGCTGAAAAAATGATGCTTAGATTACTTTTCAAGTAGCAGAGTTTTATTGTCGTGATCAAACAGAAGGTAAATCAGTATCAGATAGCTTACCAACTGTTTCTGTCTCATTTTACTGTCATTTCCCCTGGTGAAAGTCTGGTTTGAGCCTGTGTCAGGCCAGACATCCAGCATGTTCTGAAGTCTAGACCAATTTCGTGGAAATATTTTGTCTTTTAGATCATAGCTGCTTGAATTTTCCGCTCACCTCTACAATGGACCAGATGGAGCGGTATGAAAATTGAACCATGTCTCAAATTTCTCCTTGAAGCCTCTGCTCACAGCAATTACTGGAAAGTTATTTGACGACTGGCCGTGTCATTTTATGCCCCAAATGATGACAGAATGGCTTGCTCAGGCAAAACGGCCAGGTCATCCCCTTTTCTTGCCTTCTTCCTGGTCTGCTGACTTATTCATTTTGTCTGCCATGGCTGGGCTCCCTTTCTCAAACAGTCACATTGGGTGAATGATATGGGCTCTTCTGTGTGGTGTGTACAGTGAAGTGATAATCAGAAGAGACAGCTTTCTGAGCCCCATCCAAAACAAGTCAGCCATCCTCAGCTCACCTGCTATTGCCTAAGTCGTGCTTGTTTGTGCCCTACATGTGGCAACACTGACCCCTTGTGGTAGCCAGTGGAATTGTAAACAAGAACCGTCAACATACAGCAGGTGATGGCCACTGCCTGTCGCTGTTATTGAGCAACACGGAATTTGATGGCAGGTAGCTGTCACCTTATGAAAATTCTTCAAGGAGATATGAGGGTGAATGTGGCAGCACTGTTCAGAGTCACACTTTTCCATGTCTAACAGAGGTTTTAGTGAGAAAGGTAAAATGTAATGTGCATGATAGCACACGCACGCATTCACACGTGACCGCGCGCACATACACATACATGCTTTCACCTGTTTCTTAAAAAGGTTATTCTAATGGAGCCCACGGGCATTTTAAAAATATACTCTTGTATACATCTTTCATTATTAAATTAATAATATAACAGTTTGCTTCTTTTATGTTTTCTAAGAAACCATAAACCATTATATCTGTATATTTATCTCTGGATTATAATGTGCATATACGGGTCTCTAATGTAATTATATTTTTTAGAGCTGAGTATTTTTGATTAGTTTAATTTTATTTCAGAAAGTTTTGTTCACATATGGAGGTTGAGGGAAGCAATATTTTACAAATTCCCTTACTGTCTGTAAAGCATGCAGTATTGATCATATTCACAGGGTGGCAGCAAAGATTTAAGCATAGATACAGACATCTCCGAGTCTTTATTCCGTAATCAAATGAGCCAATCTTCTCAGGTTTCTCAAAGAAAAGCTGGTAACAAAGAAAGATGCCTGAGCGAAAAGGAAATTTAGGATGATGCTTAATATAGATATAGATATAGAGATCAAACATTCAATGTGCAGATGTGGCAACTAGCAGAAGTAAAATATATTTCACTTTGATTCGAAGAAAAAATCAATTTATTTGTTTTGTTCTTATTTTGTTTTTTGCTTGCTTTTTTTGTTTGTTTTCTTTTTGTTTTGTTTTTGTGTGGCTCCAATTTGTGCAGTTTGGCTGCTGAATAAGAGTTCAATAATGCATTATGCAATAGCAAGATAGCACAGAAAATGCTGAGAAAGTAAAAACACACACATTACTCTACACTTCCAAGGATGTTTTGACAGATTGCTGTTCCTAGCCCCTACTCAACAATTTCCATCATCAGATAGACTGGCATCGTGCCAATCTAAAGTAAAAACAAACTCTTATCCCCTCCTGTGAATGAAAATAAGGCAATACAGCTTCAGTTTTTCCACTATGTCATACTCAAATTTTCACAAAACATAAAAGGACATACACAGATAAAAGTAGTTATAATTTGTCCTTTTTTTAAAAATCACAGACGCATTTTTGCATCAAGCTCAAGCTCTGAACTTTCTATTTTCAGATCTCAAAATAAACCAAATTGGTATCTTTTAGGTCAGTTCAAAGAAAACTGTTCCATCAGCTGTATATTTTGGCAGCATGGCTCTCTTCTGGAACCAGCAGAATGAGAAATGTGGCATTAGGTACGTCAGATATGCCATAAAAAGTTGGAGCTGTGGTGGTGGGTGGGCTGCAGAGCGGCCTGCAAATGCATAGTAATTGTGAGAAGGCTAAAGCAACCTAAAGACCATGTCCTTTCTGAGATTTGCCAATTAGATGAGTAGAAGGGTATCAAGTGAGCCTTCAGCTGGTGTAGGCTGACACAGGTCTATGGCTGAGCTGGATTTAATGGCCTGCCTGAACTATTGCTATGCTCAATTAAATAAAATGACCAGAGTTTTCATATAACCATCTACAGTCAGCAGCCATGAAGTACTCTGTACTAGTTATGTACTGCTCCAGCAATTAAACAGAGCCCCAGACATTGTCATATAATGTTCTCAGAAGTAATAGTCCAAACAGGTCAAACTAGCCATAAAATAGTGTGGTCCTGTAAGGTTATTGTGATGGCTGCTGTGGTGTGCAGAACGGTACGACTGAAGTAGATTTGATATACATAACCTCAAACAGAGAAATGATTCATTCTAAGGAACATATTTTTTTAGATGAAAGATTATGGCTGAATAAAAAGGCATCAAGTTTCACATGGGAGGAGTTTTCTTAGCCCTCTATTTTCTACTTTCTGAGTTCTAGCAGTGTACACAATTATGTATTCTTCAGTCTGATTTTTTTAGTGCCAGTAACAAAACCACATTGATTCTCTGGCTGCTAATTGTGCTGGTTAACAATATTGAAGGAGGCTCATCTAAGATCCAGCCTCACATCTTTTCTCCGACGTTTGACTTTTGCCCATTTATCTTGCTTTTTGAAGCATCACTCAATCAAAGTCCGCTGCTGATAAGTGGTGCTTTAGCTGTTGCTGTATAGATCATGTTTCCACTGAGCTCTTTAAAATTCTTTTCACAGACTATGGGTCATATGCCATCTTTTGTGACTAGATGGACTAAATAAATGATGGCAAAAATGGGTGATGAGGACAATCTGTTATACTTCAAAGAATTCCAGCCCAATCAACTGTCTAATCACAAAGTCTGTTGGCGGAACAAGCTTTTATTAAATATTAGCCAGAGAGGAAGTCAGCCATTTAACCTGTATTAATTTAATCCTTTTTGATTAATTTTCTCTGCCATTCCATTCCATATCATTTTGACTCGAATAATTGGCCAGCATAATTTTCTGCATAACTCTGCTGTGTCATTGTCTGCAGTTTTTTGTCCCTCCCTTTTGTTCTTCTTCACTGTAAATTTTATACAGCCTCTAAGAACCCTCGCTGTCTCCCTTTTGTTTCTCTTTGCTTTTTGGCCAATGAGAAAAGATGCACATGATGTTTTACTCTTGTTCTGGCAATACATACGTTACTGTGGAGGGATGCATGTTGCGAAGCTTTGCAGCACAGTCACACCAACATGGCCTTGTGTTGTTATTATAAACATCTTAAAAAAAGGCCATTCTGCTCTTGCCTGTGGGTGTGGATATAAAGGGCATTTTTAATCAGTTCAAATGGTGAAGCTGCCCTCCAACTACAGAAATGGAAACACTTGTGCACACCCATTGGTGGCAGTAGAGCGCTACAAAGCCCAGAGGCTATAGGGACAAGCTTTGGGTGAGACTACAATACTAGGGAACAGAAAGCACCAAGCACAAGCAACATTGTCACCCAGTATAAATACACAGCCAGCTACAGATTCACAGCTAAAACACAGAACCAAATTACACCTCAGCTAATTACACAGACCTCTATCATCATGATGCAGAACTGTTATGACTGAAGTAGCAAGGCTTCGCAGAAATAAAGCCCCCGCCTGAGCGCTGAACGATAGCGGGGTCATCTGGCTCTAAGAATACTGGCTATTTTTCTGAGTCATAATTCATTAATTAGCTGATGGACACGGAGGCCCACTTCCTTCTAAATGTATCAAGATCAAAATCAGCTTAAACAAAGTGTGACCTCATTACCATGGCAACTATTTAAATCCCGTAAATAGGTTGTACCCCAGGGTTCAGGCCAACAGACACACTGGTATTTGCAACATGGAATGATTAATCTATTAATTGCTCCTGCAGGCCTCTGATTAAGGAAATTCA